GAGAGAGAGAGAGAGAGAGAGAGAGAGAGAGAGAGAGAGAGAGAGAGCCTGATACAAGATGTGTTCTCTGTAGCCTATATGCCTTTTATCTTTTCTCTTTCTCTCTCTCTCTCCGTCTGCTTATTTAAAATGCAAAAAGTATAAAGTAGTGCAACTACGAAAAACAAATCTACAATCACGCATATTTCGGGAACGGTAAAATCAGATAAAAAAAAGGAAAAAAAAAAAAGATTCACGCACGATCCTCGTGAAGGCCCCGGAGGGATTCGAACCCTCGATCTCCTGTTTACTAGACAGGCGCTTTAACCAACTAAGCCACGGCGCCCGAATGATTTCGTTCTTCTAATAAGGAGATATATATGGAACTCAATATCAAATAACAATTTTTAGTAAGCATTTATTTATTTATATAGAAAGAATTCACGTTTACGTAAAAATATTCAACGATTTACCGGCAGCCGAAATCATCGTCTCATTTGTCACGTTGCACAAGATGCACGCGCGTTTTGGAAGCTGCGGGAGTCATAATTCTCTCCGCGAGAACGGTCCGTCACGACCCGCGAGCCACCTATATATGCTACATCGGCAAAAATTTATGGATACTTAAAAACGATCCTCCTTCTGTACGCGCGACCCACATTTTCAGGGGCGTTATATTAACTTGCAACACGGCGCGGCGCGGCGGCGAAAAGAAGACGAAGCGCGGTCGATCTATTTGTGTGATTGAAATATATGAACGTGCGCGCGCGCGCGCGCGCGAACGTTGCAAGCTGTTGCTTGTCGTTCCGAAACGAGGTGTAACATAATCAAAGTGAAATATGGATACGAGCGTTAAACAAACGACTGACTGAAGGGAAATGAGGATTTGAAGTCGCGTTGAAACTCGGCCGAGAGAAATATACGTAACGCACACTGACGTAGACAGAAAAAAAGGAAAGAAAAAAGAAACCGCTTCCACGGGTCGAAATCGAGTTTCGTTTTTGTTTGTATATTTTAAATAATTTAAATTTCAGCGCTCTAAAATGCAGGAAAGTAAGTATAATGCTCCATAAGTGACGCGATATCTGAACCTTTCAAAAAAACTAGTCAACTCTATTTTTTATAAATTTCTCGTTTTCAGTGTCAATTTGTAATTTTGTTTTCTTCACTTTTTTATTCTTGACTGCTGTCAACCGAAGATCGAAATTGAATCGGTTATTACCTTATTCCTTACATTTGATGATAGTTTCTTATCGAACTTGTTACTTTATGGAGTTGATCAATTTGTCTTCCGAGAGAAGCCGGGTTCGCTTTTTTAGTCGACATGGAACATTTAACTTGTTGTTGGAGTCACATCGGTTTCGACTCCCACATGACGCTGCATTGCGCAACTTTTGGTGAATAAGTTTGGTTTTATAAACTTCTCGATTTGCAGCAATGACGACGGAAACGAAATTACGTTGCAAACCTGTAGCTGGCGCACCGTACTATTATGAGCGAATTAAACGGGCGTTTTTCAGGACGAGTTTCCGAATTAGGATGACAGAAAAGCGAAAAAAAGCTCTGCCAATGCGCAATAAACATTAGCACAATTAGAACCGCGGAATGAGACTCGCCGTCGGCATTTCTCGGCGATCTCATCGATTCGCGCGAGAATAAAGAGTTCCACATCGGCGCGATGTTATCTGCCGATTTTATCTTATTACTTAGTTACATAATTAGCGGAGGACAAGAGGTCGATGTGAATTTTACACGCCAATTGAAGCGGAAGATAATCGCTAATTATACCAAGACTGATAAGCATTAAGATACGCAATATCGGCGCTGCTTTCTTTTTAACGCGCGAAGAGAAAATGTCCGATAGGTGTAATAAGATGATTAGAGTGGTCTAACGAATGACGCGCTGAAGATCACGAATTTCTAAATAACAGAATTCAAATGGAGCACAAGGTGTCTCGTGATATACAGTCTGGAAGCATGACCTCGCATGAAGTGGCTCGTTGGTCTAGGGGTATGATTCTCGCTTAGGGTGCGAGAGGTCCCGGGTTCAAATCCCGGACGAGCCCGGTTTTTTTTGTCTTTTTTTTCTTTTGCTTCTACATGGATTACCGTTAGAAATTCCGCGGAAAGTATCCGCATTATTTTTTTTCCTCACTCGAGTGATATTTACTAAATATTAAATATTTATCTAGAGAACCAAACGTGTTTCTCACTTCATGTGCAGATGATATAACGAAAGACCAGTGCCTGGAAACGTTTCACACTGGATTGTATAAGACGTTTCATACCGAGATTCCATTTATTTTACACAAATCCCTGAAACGTCGAGGAATAAAACTTAAACGTCGCAGCCTCATCAAGTCGCATCAAGTTGCATCATTAGCGGTCGCCTCGGGGCAATTTCCATGGATTAACATCTTCCTTCTTTTTCCTCAATGTCGTTCCGAAACAATGAATAATTTAAGGCCGGACAGTCAATCATTATAAATAGCTCCGCGCGCATATTCGCCGCGACGCGCGACGATGCGACGATCTATATCGACTCGTTGCGCGCCCGCGATATTAATTAATTCCTAATACCTCGCAGGACGCGCATTATCTTCACTGTTCGATAGATTTTCAAATGCGACGCTCCGATCTTTCGCATTCCGATCGAAGTCGATTCTTTGCGATTCACGCGCGATCAGTTTATTTACATTAGTGCCCGTTTGCCGGCATTCTCGGCGAGTTCGTCATCGTCAATTAAACCGTCGGCCGAGTATTATCCGACCGGCGGGTTATCGCAATCATTTGAATCATTCGTCGAAGTGACAACCGTTACAAATTCGATAAGCGCCCCCGGTATTTCGCGCGTTACGGTTTTACGAGCGCGATTCAGAAAGCTTTTGCATTTCAAGCCGAAGAATCTTAATATTTTGACTCCAAAATATTTTAAACTTCGAAATTAGATCGCGCGAATAAGAGCGAGGCGGGATGAAGCGCAGAAACACGCTTCGCGTTATTATTTTTTTCCTTCGTGCGCGAATACGATATTTTGCTTTTGCTCGAAAAAGCTCGTCTGTTTTATATTT